CGAGCTTTCTCTCTTGATCGCGTGCAGACATGATGAGGAGAAATTCCTGGGCCCGCGACAGCTGGCAGGGTTCTGGCGACTTGTAATCGCCTTGACTGTGGGAAACCTGTAGAGCTTCCTTGTTGGTAATTGCATCTGTTGCGCTTGATAAGGCGCAATAACAATACTCGTACTATCTCTGCTGCCTCAATAATTTTGGTGTACCTACTCATAATATTAAGAAATTCATGATTTGGAGACGTAGCCCTCGGGCAATCTTTGTGGTATCAGCTTTCAACCTTGCGCCAGAGTCAAAACCTTGCTCATTGCTTTTTGCAGCTTCATGCCACCAACCGCGCTTCAACAAAGCCTAAATCATGTCAGCCAACCCAGGTCATCAGATTGGCGGAGTGCCCTCACCCAAAAGTGAGGCACAGGGCCACTCCACCCAGGGTGCCACTGCCCCCCAAAGTGCAGTTTCTAACAAATCTCATAATAATCCTAATACACTAATAACGACTAAAGGAAAGGCGCCGTCCCCAGGCAAAGCCCCTGAAAAGGCACCTGGCTTGCCGTTGTCTGTCTTGTCCGCCTCGTCTACCTCCGACTCGAGCAATTCGGAAAGCAACACTAGCTCAAGCAGCTCTGACGGAATGGATGAGGACAGTACTGCCCCGAAGTCACCTAATACTGCGCCAACGCCTCTCCGAGGCGATCGAGCGACACCTGGCCCCTCCCAGCCAATCAGATCACCAAAAATAAGGAATAGCCGTCTCACGAAGGATGTTCCGGACTGGAGCGAAGAGATTGACAATGCTGAACGCCGGAAAGAGGCGAAAAAGCGTATAAAAGAGGAACGTTGGGCCCGCCAAAAAGAAAAACGCGCAAAAAGAATTGAGATAAGGTCCTCTGACCAAACTGCGCCGGGTACGTCACCGAAAGGTTCTGCGCTCACGCAGTCTGAGAGCGACCAAGTGTCAATGTCTCAGAACGTATAAAAGAGGAACGTCGGGCCCGCCAAAAAGAAAAACGCGCGAAAAGAATTGAGATAAGGTCCTCTGACCAGACTGCGCCGGGCACGTCACCAAAAGGTTCTGCGCTCACGCAGTCTGAGAGCGACCAAGTGTCAATGTCTCAGATACTGACCTCCCTGGTCTTCATATTATAGATACTACAGTGGCACCTGACGACCGAGCAGCGAAGCGCAAGCGCTCCAAATTGCCTGCACGACCTCTCAGGCCCAAACCTACTTCAAGGAAGGAGAGCCCGGAGGCTGGTCCCTCCAACTCTACGTCTACCTCAATAAGCTCTAATTCTGTTAATACGGCCTCGAAAGGCAAGCCCAACTCGATTCCATTGTTGAGCACTCGTTTGGCATTGAGGAGCTGCTTGGCCAGCTTTACAAATGATGTCTCTGATGCGTCTCATCGACAAGCGAGCTGATCGTCCCTTGATATGGCTCCTCATTTGCTGCTCAATGCTAGCCTTCACGTCTAAGAGCTATTGGTTGGTAGACTCCTCTTTCGGTGCGTTGCCTGCGATTGGCTTTCGCCCGCTACAACCCGAAGGCGGGGGCGTTGGTGCCTGCATCCCTGCTCCATGCGTCATGTCTTCGGCAGAATGTAAGCAGCCTGGCGGTATGCAATGAGTGAATGTAAGCTGCGGACCGCTTGCAGTCACCCTCTGAACCATGTGAATACTAGTTTCGTTGTCGTCATGGTCTATCAAGTCCACTTCTGGTTCTTCTTGTAGCTCGACCTCCTCGGTGTCGCCATTGCTTGTGTCATCAACTACGGCATCTGGCCTATACTGATTCAGTTGATGCACGACCTCTGCTTTATTCAGACTTTCAAAGTTGAATTGGCTGCTGCTGCCCGTGCTAGCTCTGTTGTTGTGGAAGTCCACGACCGTCGATTACAGCTCTTCACGACGCTTGATTGTAACACCAGGACCAGCAGCGGCGCTTCGCTGCGCATTTTTAGAATGTGTTGATCTCGCAAAATTTGAGCCACGGACTCACGGAAATTCGCGATTTGTGATCTTTCTCTCATCAGAATGAAAGATGGCGTTTCACACGCGTTATTCACTACTGTCAGCGACTTCACGATGATTGACCAGTTGCGCGGGCTTGATCAGGAGAATATTTCGATAATGCAGCTGCCAGCGACGTAGCAGCGATCTGCGTTGGGTTCGACAAACAATGTGAATTTCGCCCGCCAGCGCGTAATTTAAGTCGGAACGTCAGCTTCTTGGCTTGAGGAGGGTTTTGCTCTTACGCCTCCCGCAGCATCCACGTAGGTCAACAACCACGTGGATGAAATGATGATACTATTGGTAGTGTCAGAAGCAAAACACCACACAAGGCACTCGTCAGAATCGTGTAGATATACTCTCTCAGTCGAGGCTATGGTAGCTCTCAGGGCGCCCGCCAGGCGTTTGTGAACTACTCTTCACTCCAGACATTTTTGAACGCTCTTGCGAGAGTCGCTTTCGTACCGCAGATACCGAGGGTTTTGCATCGTATGTGAAGAATCTTGTCAGACTTATTCAGAATGATTATGACTCTGAGTCTTGCCCTTGCTGGTTTTTGCCTCTCATTAACCAAACAATACCTTTTGAGCCGCACAGAAACCGTTCTCACGAGGAGTTTTTAGGCTATGACAGCATTTTGAACGCGTGTGACAGCATTGATTTTTGCTTCAAGGCAAACAGGCTTCCTAGCGCCTGCTGAGATCAAAGCTCGTGAAAAAGTAGCGAAAAGCATGCGCTTGCAAAAGTCACGTTTGCCCCAATCCTCGTTGTTCAGTGGGCTCAATGTTTTCGTGCGATCTGCAAGTTTCACTCTGAAGAAGAGCTGGCCGAGCTCTGACGATCAGACGAGCAAGTTGTTGTTAGTGCTCTCATCAACGCTCATCGATTACGAAACCAAAACAAAAAGGATTTGCCGGCGCGCAATGTCTCTACTTGCCGTGAGTCTTCGGTCTCAGAAAAGATGAAAGCTCATGGAACAGCTTCATGAAACGTTGTGAGCATTCGGTAGGTTTGCCTGCGATATATTGGGCTCGTTCAACCAGAAATTGGGCTGCATTGACGCGTCACTATCTATCGCGCCGAGAACAACGCTGTCTACAGGTGATATTGGGCTACACATTGACGCGCAGCCGACCAGCTATGTGGGCATTTTTCCAGAACAAATTGACTCCGCGATGCTCAATCAGTCGAGAACAGCACTGCGTGCTCGACTTAATTCAAAATATAGTCACTGATGTTCGAGTGTCGCTCACTCGAATGCTTGAGGGGCCCAGATGCTCTTTGAGGCGCTTTTCACCAGCGACGCTAGCGCGTCTGTGCATGCACTGAATCGAGCGATGTGAAGCGTATTTTTAGTCTTTTGAGCACGGGTGGGCTGTGTTAAATCTCAGTCGTGTAGAACCTCTTTGCTTTTCATAAAAAGCGAAAATATGAAGCTGTATACCACGCGAAGTCAATTTTTTCAGAGCTGCAATCTGGCCCGTGATAGCCAGATGCAGCGACATCGGATGCATCTCCCTCCGACAAATCAGTAGAAGTCGAGGAGTTGATCTTGATTCGGTCCATCAGATTCGAAGCAAGCCGAAAAAATGCTCTTGGGTGAAAGCATCCACTATTTTCAACGCGTACTTTGAACGTAGTCGGAAATTCGTGTCAGAACTAAACATGTAGGCAGAGACTGCCGAGCACCTCCAAACAGCCAGGAGAGCTTCAGAAGAGCTCGCGTCCTGATAATGACTATGTAATGTCGATAACGTTTTTCGACGCCAGAGGTCCCAGAGCCCAACTACGTAGTTGGTGCGTCAGGCAAGCTTGCTCTCGTATTGATCCTTGCCTTCGCAATCCCAATGGTCTCGGTTTCCAATGAATAATCGGCCCGATTGTTGGCGCCTCAGGCCGACCTGTTAGGGTTATCACTCTCGACAAGAACATAATTTAACACGAGACTCAAGCAGCGTATTCCTCGGCTACTTGCGCGCGCTTGTCTATTAAAAACCAAGAATTGTCACCGGAGCATTGCAGCTCCTGCCTGAATCACACCATGAGTGACCAGTAGGTATTGTATGTCCGAAACCATCTGTCAGCTGCGGAAGAGATCTATGATTCTTCGACTCCCTGGCTACATCACGACTGGGTCACTACTCTTTCATCGTTGTCTATGGTCCCGAACGTTGATCACATGTGAGCGTGAGCTCGCTCCAAAGCGCCTCGAAGTAAAGGCTTCAAGACGTGCCTCGGAAGTGTCAATTCTCTGGCTAAAGACAGCATTACTCTGGCCAAAGAAGTCATGTTCCGGTCGGAGCGACCCGCGCTCAAATTTGACCGCTGCAGCTAAGATTCAAACAGCCAAGTGAGACCACTAAGCAGGTTCTGACAATTGGGGTCAGTGATCATGTACTCCTTCAATTGGCACAAGTCCAATGCTGGCAGCTTAAATGGCATCCACAAGCACTATGGCTGTATGAGCCCTGGAGCGGACTTGATCTTGCTTGCAAGGTTGTGCCATCTGAATTTGTCAGAGCACCAGATGTAAATGGAAGCCCCTCCAACATTCCCCTCTCACTTCTGCTCCTCCATGGTTAGCAGTTCTGGTTTAGTAACAAAGTTCACTTTTCAGCACTACTCAAACCTTTGCAATTATGCACAGCCTTCCTGCTCAGCTACCTGCACCTCGCTCTCCCCTCCCTTTCCCAAAACCCCCTTTTTTCAATGTCGTCAAGATGGTCAAGGAGTCTGTCAAGACTTACAGCAATGCTGTCAAGGTCCGCAAGCTCCCAACTTCAACCAAGCACTTGCACCATGGAACAATTGCCACAAAGGATCAAGAGGATTGCTACGTGGGGATCATGGAGTGCTGCGCTGTGGCTGATTTTCCCCACACATTGACACCCTTGACTGCCTCTACAACTTGTTTGACCATGTCTTGTGATACAAACAGTACCGTGGTAACCGCACCTACCGAGGAGAGTGCAACTGCCTGCCCCACAAGCAGAATGGTCTTGAGGTGAGTCGCACTTTCTATATCCTTGTAATGATGTTGCCCTTTGTCTTATGTCTTGTGACTGACTCCATTGTTTGTTGCAAACACCTTGCCAAGATAAACCGGACGGTGGACGTGCCAGTCCACATTTGCTTTGGCCATGTGATCAGGCACACCAATCTTTGCCTTGTCAGTGATCAGAGGCACAGCCATCTTGCAATGGGATGGTCCTCCTGCTCCTTGCTGATGAGCTTGGCCAAGGTCTTCTGCTGCTCAAACCCTTTCTTGTATAGGCCTTTCAGCTTGTCTGCCTGTGGTTGGGTCTTGCTTCTGAGATTGTTGCCATCAGCTTTGCTCCAATGCAGCTGCTCCTGGAGATCCTCAATTTCTGCACAAAGACTGTGAAGAATGTGAAAGATGATTGCATTGGCCAGTCCAGTCACAACAGCTACAATCAAAGCTTTGTGTCCCCTTCAGAAGCATAGACAAAGACATCTTTGCCTTGCCAGTGCGCTCGTGGAAGCTGCGCTTCTCTCTCTCTCTCTCGCCCGCTTGCTCGCTCACCCTGCTGCCCTCACATTTGCATGCTTGCCCGCTCGCTTGACCGCCCTCCCCCTCGCCCTCATCACTCACTGGAAGATGCATCCCCCATCATCTCTTTGTACAGCGCATTGCACTGCTTGCGAGCCAATGCTCGAAGATCCTTGTCAGACAGAATTGAGCTGCTGGCCTGGCCATCCGAGCGACCTGCACCAGAGCTGCGCACCAGCAATTTGATTGCTCAAAGGCAGCACTCATTTTGCTGTTGTTGTTGCATTACCACCTTGCAGTGCTTGTACAGAAGGTTGTAGATCTCCTTGGGAGTCACAGAAGCAGCCTATATGCGCGCTCGTCCAGTCAGCTACTGCAGACAAGGAGTCCGACTGGCCAGACCACAGCCAGCATTCACATTGCCAGCAACTTGATCAAGTTGCAAATTTGGTGCTGGCAGGAGATGAGCAACCTTACCAGCGAGCATCTGTGCTTTGACAAGCTCAATCTTGGCAGGAGAGAAAACATTGAGCTGGTTGC